TGTGTGGAAAATACCCTCAAATTAGTAGGTAAATTGAATTTCTCACGAAATATTTTGTACCCAAGTAATACTATGACTTTCCCCAGGCACATTTCGGGTACACAAGGATACTCTGAGTTTATTTATATAACAATATGTTAATAATTATTGTGTTAATCAGCTGCGCCAAAGCGATTTATATGAAACAATTCAAAAAATTATAAATGACCGTCACGTGATCAACAAAGTCATGTGATATTATACCAAATGTGTTAATAAAAGCCGAGGAAACCCGCTTTATAAATTGGAAGTACTAAAGTTCAATACTTATAAATTAAAACCAAAACCGACCTCGCAAAGACATGTTATGTTTTGAGCGCATTTTAAAGCTTCGGGAAGCCTTAACATAGTTGCGTTTATCCAGCATGAAAAAATTGTCTAATCAGGTTGAGACAACTGCACAAACATTGTTGCTATGGTTTCTTCAGCCGGATGCAACTGAAGTCCTCATACACCATTCCAAATTATTCTACCTGGCAAGTTGATACTAGTTTCCTGCCGCATCGTCCGCCCAGTACGGTATTGATGATCCGATAATCCAGATGGAAACACTTGGAAAACTCTGTTGAAATTAGTCGAATAATGAATCGCGTAAGGACAGATGATACAAACAAAAATATGGATGCCTGGATTGGTATAAATTTTTTGACCTATTTTGGTTATAAATGATGTGACTAATAAATTTCTAAAATATTAAAAATTTGTAAACTTTCTATGATGTCCAAAATCCAACCTTTCTGCAACCATCCTTATTAATCTATGCAATTTTTTGTTACTTAAAATCCCATTATTGTGAAACCCTGAATGAAAAATTAAAATCTGAGTTGTTAAACTTATTCATTTTACTCATATAGATATAACTTAGGTTGTTATTTTCAGGATATTTGATAAAAGTTTGTATCATCTGTCCTTCAAGTGAATCAGATTGTTTTTTAACAAAAAAATTTTCCAAATGACCAAAGACAAGTTAAGTAAATTTATGAGTTCCATTTTTATTGAAAAGGCAGCTGTCAATGATATCAAAAAGCCTGGACTTTAATTTATCGTGGGGAATGGTTGTGTATAAAGCTGAAAAGTCGTAAGTTTTTAAGCTGTTGATTTTGGTGAAATCTTGTGATTTCAAATTTTCCAAAAGTTCCTTGGAATTTTTAAGTATCTATATCTGATTTACACCACTTCTCGAATATATTGTTGCACAGTACTCTTGAAGTTTCTCCTTCACTACTGTTAATATCTTAGTGAGGAGTAAAGAAAGAGGCTTGGTTGAACATTTACTGGAACCCGCTATGTATCTTTGTAAGGATTTTTTTTATTAAGTTTCGGTATCCAATATAGATATGGTTATTCAAATTCATTTTGGTTGTTTGAAATGTTAAAAATATTCAAAACTGACATATGATTTTGAAGAATTTCTACCTTAGAAAGAGAACTATGAGTACAAGTTGGATTACCACTTGTAGAATTAAATCCAAGTTCTTCTAAAATACATTTAATATAATGAGCCTTACAAACAAAGACAATGTTGTTACCTGCTTTGTCAGCAGGGACCAGTACATACTGATCATGTAATCTATCTAATTCTTATTTCACTTCTTGATTATTGAATACAGAAGGATAGATTGCTCTCATATTGCCCCTCAATCTTTTAATGCGCGATTTTAACATACATCTGATACATTCAATCCATTCTGACAAAGTGTCAAGGTCTTCTTTTTCATGTCCGGCCCATCGCCTGGCGTAATCCTCTACAGAATCCAATCCATAATATTTATGGAATTCCGACGCCAATTGAAGGATCGGGGTTCCCTATATTGAGGACCTTTTAAAATAAGTGATCTAAGGTCCTCATTATTAACCATATTTACGTCACCAGTATCTACGTGTCCAGCAGGTCTATAGTTATAGAGTGAAGAAGAACATGAAAACGATGGAGGATTATGTTGCAGATATTCGATATCCAGGCCCTGTAAAGTTTTCTTGTAATTAAAAAGCTTGGAAGCAATAGTCGATGTATATTTGTAGGAAATACAAGGTGTAATCTTAAACTTGAAATATGGTGGAATACAAGATTGGACCCTTTTGTAATTAAGAATATTATTTATATTAACCGCGTCAATTCCTTTGTTGACATATTGAAGTTTAAGGAAAAAACGGATTGTTTTAGCTGCATTTTCTTCAGTAAAACGTGGGGTTTTAAAAAGCCTATGATTTACAATATCCATGATCACAAATCCGAGGGTATATTCTGGTGTCGAGGAATCAAAAAATGGACTTTCCTTGACCTTTTAGAACACTATTTAAAAGTTTCAAAGGAACAGAGTAAAGTTTGGTGCGAATATGATGTAGACCTAACTGTTGATCTACGTAAGGTTGTAATGAATCAAAAGAGACATAGTGTATTAAAGGTTTATTGTAAGACCGAAGCCTATGACTACGCTTAAGTCTCTGTGTATGGTTAAAAAGTCCCATCACATTTACATTTTTACACTGTGGACTGGAAAGATTTCCAATACTATCGACATTGTCATTACATTCATAGGGAAAGGCTGTCCATAGTTTTCTAATCCAAAATTCTTCTCGTTCTCTACAGAAAGGTGTACTCAGTGATGGACTGTTTGTGTGGTGGTAAATCTTTTCTGGAATTCTAACATTCATTGACAAAATAGAATGATCAGGTAATTTAAAATGCATATATAAAAGCTGCTGACCCCCATTATTTATTTGAAATCTATGATCTTATATTCTTCCATTAAGTGATCCCTTGGTTTTACCAACATAAACAAGTTCACAAAGATTACATTATATTCTATTCCGTAGACAAAATTAGAAGATTTGCAGTTCAGATTTTCCAAAGGTTTGGTATAGGAGCCCTGTCCAGTAAGATTACTGGTGAAAGAAGTGTTAGTTATCAAAATGTCACAGGGTTTACAGTTTTTCGCAGAAAATTGTGAAATAGAAGACATGGGATCAGAAAAGGAATCTTCAAATATATCTCTAATAGAAACCTTACATTTTTTTCAATTTTTTGTATGAACTATTGGTTTTATACCAAGACTGGGAATCTGAAGACAGTACATATGACATATGTTTAATATCCCTGAGGATTATCCGAGGGGCACCGAATGAACTCCTTGAGTCTGTGTCCCTTGTAGACTCAAAAGAAATTTCTTCCCGGATTTTCCGTTGCTTGCTCTTGCACTTACGTCATCTCAAAATTAAACAAAAACATAAAATGTGCAGCATTCTTACTTTGTCAAAAGAAAAAGTATGGATTGCAAACTTTATTTGCAATTTCTTTGTCTCGTTGTTGTGGTTAATGTTGCTTTGGGCATTCGTAAGTTATTTGCAAAAATCATTTTACAATTAATTTTGAATTTAATTACTTTGATCTAATTTTCTGCTATTAAAAATGTATCTGTTACAGAGCTAAGCAGTGGAAATTGCTTATACGTCCTTAATGACACCCCGGTCGAAAGGACTTTAAATAAAACAACTCAGATTTGTTGTCAAAAATCAGGAGTTCACGATAAATATAATCTTGGACAGGAAGTGAAATGTTGTGGAGGTAAGTATTATGATATACATATACATATGATATATTATTCATAATAAAAACAAAACTTTAATAATTTCTAATTTTTCTTGAAATCTTCAAAAGCTATTCTTTTTAATCGAGTGTATACCTGAATAGAGTTTTCAACCAGTTTAACCTTGCCTTGCCACATCATATTAATGCTTCGTCAAATCTGCTTTGCAAGATACAAGTATTCGATTTTTTCTATTTTCAATAGCTATTTATGCAAAGTTAACGACTTTGGAACTTTAATGATTAAGCTTTCTAAAGGCTTTAAGTTTAACATGTGATGGAACCTGAGGAAATGAAATCTCAGTCATTAAATACTTATGAGATTAGAGTATGTTGTTCTGTTTCTCGCATAATCACCGGTGTTAGATAGCAGTGTGAGATTTTCCTGTCTTACACTGTGTATTACTACCCTGTGAACTGAACTACTTTTTACATGTTTACATGGTGAACGGTACTTCTTTTTATATGTTTATATGGTGGACTGTTAGTCCCCGCAGGTCTCTACAGCTCAGTAGCTAAGTACTTCGGTACTAGCTTGAAAATTACGGATATATATTTAATTGCTGTGGTAAAATTTTCAAAATTAATGATTTTCTCCCTAATGCATAGCCCTGATCCTTCGACGTATTTGGCTCCAGTCTTTTGCACTCTTTTTCAGCTCTTTAAAGTCTGTTTTATTTAAATATTTCGGATTTCTACGTTTTGGCATGAGCATCACTGAAGAGACACAATCAGATTTATATGCAGCGTTAGACATCAACAGGTTCGCAGAATTCTATGGGATCAATATTTAGCGGGTCACAAATCCATGGAAACGCATCAGTTAACATCACAATCAACATATATCAATCCAGGAAACGAATCCGTGTAATTGACTCCGACTCAGACTAGGCTAAAACATGCTTCACATATCATGCATATGTAGGTCAAATTATGCAAATGACCCATTTCGAACATAGACATTGCTTCTTGTATATCTGTAATAATGTCTAAAAAATCATATGTACTGAAAATATTGTTGTTTAATTTATTTAATTAAATTTATTTTCATTCAAAAGATTGCTGTGTTTTCACTTTTTGAATAGCACTAATTGTAGGCCGCGGAAGGATTCTTCTGAAATGAATTGTAGGCTATCGGATTTTTTTTTTATTCCAGTTTATATCATTCAGAATGATTTAAGTGGTTTGAAATTTGTTTTCTGAGTTTACACATACTTGTGTAAACCATTTTCAGGTACGATTTCTTTGATAGTGTATTCAGATGTTTAATTGGTTACAAAATAATAATAGTGATGACACGGCGTTATTTTGGATAATGACATGCAAGAAAATTAATTATTCATCACATACTCGTGTGGGATAGTAAAATTTAACCTCGGGACAAGATCTACGATCTAGGACTCGACAAAGCCTAATAATGATTGATTCTATTGGTATATGATGTTATATAAGCTATATTCTAAACTTCAACATTGATTTTTTTAAAACATATCTGCATTTTATCCACAGAAACAACATACAGACCGGAGATAGAGCTCTGCCGCGATGAAAAAGTGCATAATAGGCCTGGAAATTATGTTCATGATACAAACAGTAAGTACTTAAATTTGTTATGCCCATTTTCTGAAAATGTGCTATAACTATTCTTGAAATGTGGTAATGCTTTAAAATTGCCAAAAATAAATATTTGCACATTTATATCTGATTATCTATTATCCTTTGTGTGATTGGTATATAATTAGGTACCGCGTTGACAGTTCTACGTTTTGTTTGCTTATATCCCAGCAGAATATTTAAACATATTTACTAAAAATTGCCAGATAATTATCAAAAAATATTTCTTCTTTTTTTTTTTAAATATTCTTAAAAATGATAAAATACGTTTATAAAGCAAACCTGTCGGGGAAAGGGGGGAGGTATTCGCATATATTAAAGGAAGTCGTAATAGGCTTTTTAAAGGTTTATCATAAATCAAAATGGAGGCACAACACTTCGATGAGCATTTGATTTTGTGGTCGACTCAACAACGAAATCCACAAAAATTGGTGATCCACGAATAATGATAAAACCACAGTACTTCTTGTAACATACGGGTTTGGTTTGTATATCGATTCTATAGCATTTCGTCCATCTTTACGGGCATGCATTTCTTGCTTCTTAATTAATGGGCAAACATGATCAGAATTGCATGAGCGTTTAATAAATAATATATATTCATGTCTTTAACTGTGATATCATATTCACACTATGATTTACAAACTATTGGATAAATACATTACCAGATACGAGATCAACACAACACAAACAGTTACGATTACAATCTCGTTAAATATACATTTCAATTGAATGAATGAGTTGAAACAAAACTCAAAATTTCGTATAAAAACTTGTTTTTCATTTTCTATATGTATGTTAAAATAATAAAGGAATAAAGTATCTCAACATTAATCTGCTTTGATAAGAGGTTGAGACGCCCTTCAGCCTTAGGAACCTCGGCATAAAAAAGTGGTTGAGATAAGACCCTTAGCATTAATTAGTGGTTGAGATATGATCCTCAGCATAAATACATGTAAGTGATAGGGATAAGGCCCTAAGCATAAATGATTGAGATTGAGATAAGACTCTCAGCATTAATAGGTGATTGAGATAAGACCCTCAGCATAAATAAATGATTGAGATAAGACCCTCAGCATAAATAAATGATTGAGATAAGACCCTCAGCATTAATAAGTGAACCTCATTATTAATAAGTGGTTGAGATAAGAACCTCAGCATTAATAAGTGGTTGAGAAGTCCAATTTTTTTAAGGAATTAGGACTTTTGTGTTTGATATTGTTTGCAAACATAATGTCTCACGTTTTTCTACCTGTAAAGATAGTTGATATAATCAGAAATAAATCGACAAACTTGCATGCATATGTGTAAGTGTGCAGATACAGCTATCATTATTTTCCGTTTATTCATCTCATTAGCTGAAGGTGAAAGTACTACAAGGTCTCCGTTGAAGAAGCAAGTTGAGCCATCCTTTTCTCATGAGTTGCCTCAAAATAGAAGGAAACAGTAGGCATTTTTGTTTCATACAAAGTTTATTCAATAATTTTTATTGTAAGATTCAATATTAAAATAAAAGGCAACCGTCATCAACAAAGCATTATTTGAAACTAATGTTTAGAACCAATTAAGATGGCTGCTTGAGATCGTAAAACATCTAATGATACATGTATCTATTGAAAAGAGATATCAGATATGAAAAACCAGTGATAAATGTATACAACCAAAAGGATTGATTGCACTGTTGAACCCATCTGTTTAGTTGGAATTTGTCTTTCTACAAGTATTTCTTAGACAGAGGAATCTCATAAATTAAATCTTTATTGTTGAATATTTTTTAGAACTTTTTTGGACGCTACATTCAAGAGGTTGATGAAGCAAAAGGGAAGGAAACTCCTCCGAGAACTTCTGATGTACATTGATATTTTCAAAGCCAATATTTATTCAAAAAGCCCTTCAAAGGAAACCCTGAAGTAATTACCTTCATACTGAGAGAAGGAAAAAACCCTTCAGATTTTTTCCCCCTAAAATTTTACTCTTAAGCAAAAGGACACAATCACAAGGACATATTATTTAGTTTGTTTTTTTTTTTTTCATGATGTAGGCATATTTTTGGGGGAAAAACTGTAAAAGTGCAGTATTGTTTTCTTCAAGTTTAGTTGTTTGATTTTCTTAATGCCAAATAAAGAAAGGATTTTAAAAAAAGACGAAAGAGATGTTCTGTGGAAACTGAAACAGATTTTACATCGGGCGTTCAGGAACACTCGATTCAAAATTAAGGACTTGGCAAAATGATTGCATGTGTATCAGATATATAATCAGGGATTTAGTTAAGCTTGTGAAATTTAAGTTCCCCTTTGTAATGGAGAGCTTAAAATAGTTAGAACTGTTAGACTTTTGAAGTTTCTGTTTATGGAAACTATCTTTTTTTAGATTTAGATTGTGCAGAACGAAATGATCACATAGAGAAAGGAAATTTTTATCACATCAGTAAGAAAACTATAGAGAATTTTAGCTGGATACGGATAGGGCAGTTGCCAACAATTTTCGGACCATGTTCTGATATTGCCAGGTATGAACTTTACAAGTATTCCACTTAAAACGGAAACATTCCATCCTAGCTTATTTTAACTGCAACAAAAATATATACATGGTCTATTAATAAAGGACTGTCTGCGCAGGATTCAGGGAGATTCTCTTCATGCAAACATTCAGCTGGGATATATAAAAAAGCAATAGATGAATACAGCAGATTACAGAAACTAAACTTATTTAACAAAAATATTCAGTAACGTTGCACAGTATCCTGGATATTAGATGAAATGATCCATTGATAATTTACAATTGATTTGCACGGTGACATTATTAGAATATAGGAGCATGCTAAATATTTGCATAATTATGTAATATAATACTTCACAAAAATCTTGGTAGACAATCGTAAGAATAAAAAGAATCACTTTCTTCTCGGCACAACCAATGAATTGTTACTTGGTATGCAAATGGGTTTTTCAGTAGTGCTCAAATATAAATGCTTCGTTGGTTGTATATAACTTGTACAGAAACAACTACTGATGCCTAAGTGTTTGTTGTCAGACATTTCAGTCTTATTATTACTCATTATTATAGAAATGGTTTTGTAGCAATCTTCACCAGAAATCATTTACTGCAAGAAAAAAAAGGAAAAGTTTGTACACCAACAAATGATGAAACTGAAATGGATTTAACTCATACCCAATAATAAATACTAAATCTGGTACAAAATACAGATTGCCCAAGTTTATTCGGACGCCGACAGTCCGGACGATTCAGGTTCCGACGATTTTTAAGATAACGGATTTTTATAATGTTATTTTGTCACTTGTAATATGTTTGTTTGTTTGGTGTTTAACATCCCTCTCCAGAATTTTTCACTCATATGGAGACGCCACCACTTGCCGATGAAGAGCTGCAAATTTTGACCCATGCTTGGCACTCAGGGCCATTGAGCAGTGAGGAATCTTTTTCGTGCCAGCACCTACTGTGACACGCTCAGTAAAGTTGAAAAAAATTCTTTACAAGGATGGGCGATTCTTTTCAGGATTTTATTATTATTGAACAAATTAATGTGGTTGAAAACTACATGTTGAGAACGATTAGATTTCTTATTTAGACTCGTCACCTGATGTGGCAGTCACGTGATTTTTGCAAATATACCTGCAGTATTGAGGTCATCTATAAATTCCAGTATTGCAAGGGCATAACCAAGTTAAAAATCTAAGTTTTTTTTTTTTTTTTCAACATTCTTTGCAGTTTGTGAAAAGTGCTGCGAACCTAAATATGCTGACACGCAAAAGAAACTCAACAGGCAGTAGTCTACAAATATTTGAATTTTTTAACTAACGATTTTCAAAAATGAATACAGTGAGGTAAAACTGAGATTTGATAAAAATAGTAAATGATTATCTTTTAACTTTGGAAAGTAAGACATGACTGTTAAAACACCCCCACCCCGGCCATTCAATTACAGGCTTCAAGACTGCCATGCACAACACTTGCAGCTTCATTTCTACGATGCAGTAGGTTCATCAATCTCGAGATCTGAGCGAAAGAAATATTCTTTGCCATTTTTTAAATGCCTGTTTTTCAGATGATGAGGTCGAATTTTCTCTAGCCTAGCGCAGTGTAGTCACCCTTGGACTTCCAGTCCAAGGACTGTAATTCATGCTAATGATACTAGAGCAGAGCCTGTAGAGGCGTGATGTAGTGCATATTTACATCTGCAACTCTGCATCACCTTTATTTTGAGATTTTCAAGCTACAGCAATGGAAATGCGTACTTAAGTCATTTTCAGGAAGCCTTGGCATCGCTAACATAAAAGAAAGGAGAATTTATTCTTCGGAATATTGCTCCATTACGTATGATAAACAGATACAATCCCTTAAAATCCATTTTGCCAAATGTTTTGTTAAACATGCAATTTTTTATTTCTGTTAAGTAGACTCAAACTTAACTTCCGGTAATGGTATGGAAATCATTCAACCGTTAAATTACCGATATTTACAAAAGTTGAAGATGCCCTTACTTTTTAGATACAAAATTATATCTTAAATATAATATTTCCCCCTATTTCCCACCTTTTCTCACAATTTCAATGCTTTCTTCACTCAAAATCTTGATAGCCAATGTATGAAAAAAATTACCTGTATATCCACAGAAAATAGGAAAGAGTAAATAATAAAAATATATAGAAAACATGCAAACATATAACCAGTTGAAACGAGTTCAGGAGGTCAGAGAGCAATTTGTTTTCTTTAACGAATCAAGATGGTTTTATAAAGTATATTTCATTTTTTCTAGCCAGTTTAACGAAATAGGAACACGTTTTACCGGCCGGTAGCTTAGTTTATATCATCATAGGTACCCTGCACTGGGGGTCTAATCTGTATATATATCTTACCTTATCTCCTTAGAACAAAAACCGGCGTTGAATTACCAAATAAATGGTATTTTTGTAGACATTTTATAGAATTCAGCGCTGAGTCTTAAGTATGAAAAAGTTTATTGCAAATTTAACTTTTGTTTATAATACCGTTGCATTTTCCCCAAATACTATTATTTTCAGCCTAGATGAATGTTGCCCTGGTTTTCTAATCAAGATAAACACAATGAACTGCGCAGCTAAAAATATTAATCCAACAAAGACACATCATCTTTACCTAGCCAAAATACTGAATATTAAATCGTAAATACATAATAAAAAAGCAAACATTCCAACGTAGCATTTAGTGAATCTCATTTATTCCAGTATGTGTGGGAAAAAGTAAATGGGAAATCTTGATCCTGAAAACACGAAATACTGTGGAATTTCCTTAGAGCTGACATCATAATGATAAATTCAGAAAATATTCTAATACTTCTCATTTTTTCTTGAAGGCAGGCTACATGCAACCTTGACTTTCCTCAGAAAGAAAAACAAAATGGTAGGCGTGATTTTGCCCCCCTTTGTGAATATAAAAAATATAAAACATCTAACTTTTACGAGGTGATTTTTACATAGGAACGATACTGGATCATTTCTTGTTTGTGCCATATTAGTAAAAAGGGTAAACATCTAAATTTCCTCCACCTTTCTACTTAATTTCAATTCTTCCTTCACTAAGAAACTTGCTCACTGGTATATGAGGAAATTTACATGTTTATACACATATTAGCACAGTAAATAGTTTATATAAAAATATACATTCAATTAAAGAAAAATGCATACATGCAGCCAATTGTAAAGGGTTCAGGAGGCGCAGAATGTTATAAAAATGTTCCTTATATTACGAATCAGATGGTTCTATAAAACATTCTTTATTATCACTAATAAGTTTATATTTATTTGCGTAATCGTCTGAACGTTAATGTGCCATTTAAATGACACCTTGATATGAAGGTGACCGAGATTTTATGATAATACGTGTAAAGAGATAGCAACAAAACAGTCAACTAGATGACTAATTCTCGAATAGTAAGTACTCATCGGAAAATGGAAGCTGTGTCAACAAATGTTTACTCGCATTGTTTATAGGATTGTGGTGAAAAATTTACTATAATATTCTTTCCAACGCAATCTTTTGAAACATAGTTTATTACATGAGGCAATAAATAATCTCGGTACATTTATAATTTAGCCTGTCAGTTAAGATTGCTCTTCTGTTGATTTTCAGGAATATGCCCATATTTGCCCTGCAAAATTAACCCACTGATTTTCCATGTCTTTATAAAAGGAAATGCACACAAGTTACTTTGCAGTTTATAAGTAATTTTGATTGTGTAATAAGACATAGACAATATAGAACATTTTCTGTTATTGTTTGTTTTTGCTTGATAATAATAACAATTCACCATCAATTAGTCATAATTTTGATTAAATCTGAGGCACCTTTGTTTACTTTTAATGTTTAGTTCTGTTTAATTTCAAATATTTCCCCTCTTGTTTGAGCAAAGTTAGAGACGAAACAAATCAGACGCTATTTCTTAAAATAGACGCTACTATATGTTTACGTTAAACACGTGCTTCAGGTCAGTCTACGTTGTGATGTTAAATGGACCAAGAAAACGACAATATAAATTTTTTTTAAATACAAAGAATAATAACTAAGAAGGATGCCCCGGTCATGATCTTTATAAGAAAGACAAATACTTTTTTCACTTCATAACTTGCTTATGGTGCGAGTGAAATATGTTCTTATTGATTGTTGACTAAAAATTCAGTTATTCAATGTACATAATAAAAGGTAGTCTTTGCCATGTTCGGTGTGCTTTGCAGAGAACATCAGCGTTTTGGGGGATAAGGAGAACGTGCAGCATTTCTTAGGAATTTAAATGGCCAACAACGTTTTTTTAAAATCTTGCCAGAGCTACTAGGAACTCTTTTAGTACTATGATTTGCAGAACACTGAAAAATAGAAGGCGTCGAACTGAAAAATAGATTACTCAGATAGATAACTCATTAGTAAAGGTGGTTTCAATTCAAGGGAAAGACTCACCCTGAATTATAACGCATTATCCATGGATTAACGAATGCAAATTAAATTTCATAGCTGTCGAACATCAAACATTTCACCAACCTCTCCAACCTCGGTTTTTTAACTGATTTTTGAAGGTATAAAATGTATATCGATTCACAATGAACTTTTACTATTGACAATCTCTTTGTA